CCTAATTCACCCCCTTACGAGTGAATTTTAACCCCAAAAGCTGAGCTTGTGCGGGGAAAGGGACGGCTATTATTATTATTTGCCGTGGCGCTCCGGGGCGACTTATACCTAAATATTTGATGTTTTTGTTTCCTGTATGTCTAAATTTTGACATGTTAAGCTTCTAAATTGAGGTCGATCAGACACTGTCTTTGAAACAGCAATGTAGTTTGTTTTGTTAAAGACAATTTAAAACCATCCAGTCAGTTTTTGACATGTTCCATTCCAGCTATAGCAAGTGTCTTGACGCCTTTCCAATCTTTATCACTGAAGACTGGCACTGTATCATCAGCATATGATACAACTTTTCCTTGAATATCAATCTGAGTTAAGCTCTTAATGTATAAATTAAATAGTATAGGTCCCAGAACAGTCCCTTGAGGCACTCCGATTTGTATATTTTCAGGGTTAATCACATTGTCTCTGACCTTTACCTTCTGTTGTCTGTGTGTCAAATAATTTTCAAAAACCTTCAACATGATGCCCCTCACTCCATTCTGTTCAAGAACATTTAAGAGCTTCTGATGTGGCACCCTGTCAAATGCTTTTGCTAGATCTAGAAATATAGCTATACACTTGTTACCAGTATTCATTTCATCAGTAACATATGAAATCAATTCATGCATAGCATCTCCTGAGTTAAGACCCTCAGTAAAGCCATATTGGTGCTTGGGAAGTAAGTCATTAGTTTTTAAAAAATCTTTCACACATTTCTCAAATATTTTGTTCACATTACTAATTAAACTAATAGGTCTATAGTTAGTTATTAATTTTGGATTACCAGCTTTATAAATAGGTGTTATAATTGAAGTTTTAAATTGTTTAGGTACAATTCCTGTATTAAAAATACAAATAAGTATATGCATTAAAGGTTCCAGTAAATACGGATGTAGTAGTTTCAGATGTTTTACTGTTATGCAATTAAACCCCGGGACACTATTGTTTTTTAAACTATTTATGTGTTTTATAATATCGTTTTCGCATATCAGTTTCAGAAACATTGATTTTTCAGTGACACAAGAAAATCCACATTACATTCAGGGATATTTGTGAACATATTAGTGCCAATAGTTGAAAAGTAGTTATTGCAGTAATTCGTTTGCCATTTCATTATCATTTTCAAATTCCTCATTATGTTGGTTAACAATCTGTAAATTGGTATTATTTTTTTTATGATTTTCATTAGTTGCTTCAGAGATTGATTGATAAGTTTTTTCAGATCATTTTTGTTTTGGTTTATTTTATTGTTATAATAGTCATTTTTAGGTTTTGATATTAGTTTGTTTAAATTATTTTTAAATGTTTTATAGTGGGTTTGTTTGTTAATAGTATAGTTTTTTTGTAGATCTTTTTTAAGTTTAACCCTAGTTTTAATAGAATTAATTAAACCATTTGTTATCCATGGCTTTATTTTTTTATGGATTTTAATATTTCGAGTGGTTTGACATGTTTCAATGATATTAAGATATGTGTCATAAAAAAGTTGTGTTGCAATTTCTGGATTATTTTCATTGCAAACACTTTCCCAGTTTACAGTTTCGAATTTTTGTTTTAATTAATTAGTATAAGACTAGTTAAAAATATTTAAAAAGCAAGTCAAGAAATTTTTGTTCTAAGTGATCGGTTGAATTGAGTAGTTCATTTTAATTTATGTGTATTATATATATTTTTCGATTGTCATATTTGTACTTGGGTTGTGCATATGCCTTTTTGTTCCTTATTTTTTATATATCTAAAAATTTCTTTTCTTGAATTTAAATTTTTTACTTCTTAACTTTTTGTTTTTAACTTTCTTATATTTTTATCTATCTTTTTTCATCAAATAGTTTTTGCAACTTTAAACCGATATGTCTCTACAAGTGTTGCATTTTAAGTAGCTCAGAAAACTTAACATAGATTATCTAGGGGAGAATCTGCATGAGTCTGGCATGTTTCCTTAGAAACAATGCTGTAATAGTGGTTGGTTGAAGAATTGTGATTATTTATGATTAGCATCTAATATTCAAATCAACACTTTGGTCATCTAATGTCCTGATAGCAAAGTTGTTAAAGTAGATTATGTAAACCATGAATGTGGATTGAGGGTTGGAATCCTATCAAAGGATATTTGTTTTCACTTTGGGGGTATCCAAAAAATGTATAATTAAAATCTATTTTGATTTCAATTTAATAACGTTTTTCAACATTAACCAATAAATTCTTCAAAATTTTCTATTTTTATTCTGGTGAGTAGGTATTTGAAAAAAAAAATGACCTGTGAACTTACAACAAAAATTTGAAATATTTTTTTAATGTAACTACCTACCGAATACAAAAAGAATTTCTATAAATAAATATATAAAAATAAAATTTTAGAAAAATTTTTCAAAGAAATTTAATCATAATTTATAACTGAACCTTGAATTTATGGATTTTATGTGAAAACAAAAAAAAACTAAAAATAACTATTTAAGTAGCTGTTGATTGATTTTTTTATTAGAAAATAGTAATAAGTAATGGTATACGAGGTGTGTCCCAGAAGTAATGAAAATAATTAATTTTAAAATGTTTTATTGAATGTACCTACAAAATACAAAATATGCTCTTTGGGAATGGATACACCATACAGCTACTCCACCGTCGTTTATTGTTCCATAATGAGAACTTTTCAATTTCTGCTTAAATGTCGAAAAAAAAAAAGACTCATATGGAGGTATGTCATGGAAAAGTTTTGCTTGTGTGAACTGACATTGCCAGCTCATTGATCTTGCATCACGATGCCCCCAGTCACAGCTGATTGTTAATCAAGGGAATTTCTGGCAGAAAAACCATTCCAGTACTCCCAAACCTTCCCTACAGTCCAGACATGTGATTATTTTTTTTACCAACATTTTAGCGAAAATTGAAATGTTCCCATTACAGAACAATAACATCCAAAGAGTGACAAAACAGGTTCTAAACAGCCTAACAGAATAAGATTTCCAGAATTGTTACCAGGAATGGAAAACTGCTGGAGATAGTTTTTAATAGTTATAAGTTACAATAATAAATAAGTTACAATAAAGTACAATAATGGAAACCAATTATATAATAACAAGCACCTAGGTGAGAACACCTGTATGTGCTGACAAAAATTAAAATTTTATTTTAATTATATTTAATGAATTATAAAGGAAATAAAAAAAAGCATTTTTTTTAAATAAAGAATAAAACTTGAACAATGTATGCAAGAAACAGAAAAAAAAAATATTTAAAAAAAATCCATGTATTAAGTCTGTTATTCTTGGAATATTCTGATAAACATTTTGGAAAATGTATATTTTGCTAACTTTACAGAATTTTTTATATTTGTTTAATAATTTTATATGAAGAGGTAGAGCGGTATAGAACTTTGTCCCTAGATAATTTACACTGTTTTTAAAAAACTCACTATTTGGTTTTGGTACTTTAATGCACATGTTCGATGCAGTTCTAGTGTTATGTCTATGTTCTAAAGGGTTTTTTAAAAATTAATTTTTTTGTATATAACAACACACTGCATAAATATATAAACATCTAACATTGCAAATTTTTTCATTATATAAAGTTATGGTGGGACACAATCTATCTCTTTTATATATTAACTTCAAAATTTTGTTTTGAATAACATTTAACTGATTTAATGTAGTTCCATACAGACCTCCCCATACTAAGATTCCATACTGTAGTATAGATTCTACTAGACTGTAGTATAATGTTATTAGTAGATCCTGGTTAAGAAATTGTGTTAGAAGATAAAATTTATAAATCAGACATCTGAGATTTTTTGCTACATATATTATATGGCAGTCCCATTTTAAGTGCTGGTCTATAATTATACCTAAATATTTGGATGTTTCTGTTTCCAGTATGTCTAAATTTTGACATGTTAAGCTTCTAAATTGAGGTCAATCAGCCACTGTCTTTGAAAAAGCAATGTAGTTTGTGTTGTTAACATTCAAAGACAATTTAAAAACATCCAGCCAGTTTTTGACATGTTCCATTCCAGCTATAGCACATGTCTTGGCTGCTTCCCAATCTTTATCACTGAAGACTAGCACTGTATCATCAGCATATGATACAACTTTACCTTGAATATCAATCTGAGTTAAGCTCTTAATGTATAAATTAAATAGTATAGGTCCCAGAACAGTCCCTTGAGGCACTCCGATTTGTATATTTTCAGGATTACTCTCATTGTCTCTGACCTTTACCTTCTGTTGTCTGTGTGTCAAATAATTTTCAAAAACCTTCAACACGATGCCCCTCACTCCATTCTGGTCAAGAACATTTAAGAGCTTCTGATGTGGCACCATGTCAAATGCTTTTGCTAGATCTAGAAATATAGCTATACACTTGTTACCAGTATTCATTTCATCAGTAACATATGAAATCAATTCATGCATAGCATCTCCTGAGTTAAGACCCTCAGTAAAGCCATATTGGTGCTTGGGAAGTAAGTCATTAGTTTTTAAAAAATCTGTCAGTCTATCTTTCACACATTTCTGAAATATTTTGGCCACATTACTAATTAAACTAATAGGATGTTGTCTACATTCCCAAAGAGCATAACTTGAAGGTACTTTCAATGAAACACCTTAAAATTAATTATACTCATTGCAATTGAGGTATACCTGGTATACTGTGGAAATTTTTATAGGTAATAGGTATAGCAAAGCAGATTTAATGATTAATGATTATTATTAGAGTTGCATTTTCCAGGAAAACTTACAAGGAAAAGATGTTCCTAATTTTAGTACACTCTAGGTACAATAAAATAAATAATATGTACTTTCATCTTTGATGAAGAAGGGAACCTATCTGACAACAATAATAGAAGTTGTAAACCTACTTATAATACCTACAAAATTGTTTTTTTTTTCTTCGGTTATTTCGTAAACAATATTGCACATATAATCTAACGTGTTATCAGAAAAATGAAATTTTAGTAGGTATTTACTTACATTGAGATCTGAGAATGTTATTTCCTTTATTTAACTAGTAGGTAAAATCAATTCTTGGAAGTAAACAATTAAACAAATCGTTCGTCCATATTGTTAATTGAATTGATAACAACACAAAATTCCTGGAAGTCAAAAACTGCACCTATGTTTTCTATCAAACTAGTCCAATAGGAATTTTTATGTATAGTCTTTAACCCTTAAACTAAGCAAATTAATCACATTTTTTTTAAAAGTTCACACAAACGTTTGCACTAAAAACTTTTTTAACTTTTCTGAATAACATTGAATTTTGAATTGAAATGTTTTATGATTTCACTATTTGACTTTGACAAGCAAGTAGCAAGCAACAAGTAATTGATTATGCAATGTTGCCAAGTTTCGAATTAAATTCTTCTGCGATTCCCAAAATTATTGGAAATTTTAAATTAGATAATGGGTCCTATGATTGAACGTTTATGTTATCCGTAACGTACATGTTAGGCCGAATTTTAAAAGTAACGAGGCAAGTTCGTATGATGGAAACCTGTTAAATTAGAACATAACAGGCGGAAAATAACAGTAATGTGTTATTAAAGACTTTACATCATACGAATTTGTCTCTTTGCTGATAAAACTCGGCCTAACATGTACGTTACGGATAACGTAAACGTTCAATCATACCACCCAATGGGTCCTATGATTGAACGTTTACGTTATCCGTAACGTACATGTTAGGCCGAATTTTAAAAGTAACGAGGCAAGTTCGTATGATGGAAACCTGTTAAATTAGAACATAACAGGCGGAAAATAACAGTAATGTGTTATGAAAGACTTTACACCATACGAATCTGTCTCTTTGCTGTTAAAACTCGGCCTAACATGTACGTTACGGATAACGTAAACGTTCAATCATAGGACCCATTATCCGACAACGGATAACACGATTTGGACAAATAAAAATAGACAATAAATACATAAAACATAAAGCTGATCAACCAGACACAATTTAATTAAAAAAAAAACAGGACAGGCTCTACAACCGAGAAGGCAAGCGACAGAATTGGAAGAGCGACATTTTGATTTTTAGTAATGCGATTCGGCCTCGGCCAAAGCCGAGGATGCTTTCAAAAAGTGCCAAGATTTATATGGACAGATAACACAGGGCAACAAAAAAATATTTTTTTGGTGCCTGTGATTTTAGAGCTGATTTTAACTATATTTGGGAGACGCTATATCTGTACATGCAATCCGTTTTTCTCTATCAGCTGTACTTTTTTAGATACATCAACTTATCTACCAATGTGGTTTTTATTCAGTATATTCATTTATGAGAGTTCTAAAATTATTATATATTCATTAATGTAGGTACACTGGTTTTATTGTCAGTCTGTAATTGAGTAAATTCCAGGTAAATCTATAAATAGTGGAACCATTGCCTATCAGGTACCTGAACTGACTCTTTTAATCCCCTAACTCTGGTAAGTCTCGTCAGTTTGTGCGATCTTACTAATGAGAGTAGATCGAATTCGGCGTGTTATTTTATGTTAAGAAAAGTGTTTTTGTGTTATTGAACAGAATTAAAATGAGTTCAGGTTCCAGTTCAAGAAGAAGTTGTGTAAATCAACTTGATATGTTTTGCTATATATGCGGAGAATACATGTTTCAACAAAGCAGGCAAACTATTACTGACTTTGTAAAGCGAGCATATCTTGGATATTTTGGAGTTAACCTTGGTGATCAGGACAAAAAGTGGGCCCCGCATCTCGTATGTAAAACTTGTTCAGAGCATTTACGGCAGTGGACTAGTGGAAAAAAAATGTCTAAAATTCAGTGTACCAATGGTTTGGAGAACCAAAAAACCACTTCAATGATTGTTATTTCTGTTTAGTAAATACTAAAGGAATCAATCGAAATAACCGCAGTAAGTGGACTTATCCCAATGTAGAGTAGGCAATACGCTCTATCCCTTACTCTGATGAAATACTGATTCCAACATTTCATCAGCTACCAGATATCTCTGATGACGAATGTTTTCCCTCTGATCGCTGTTCTGATGCTAATAAAAGTTCTGATGCTAATGAAACTAACAGTGCCTATGAGGAGACGTCATCAGATCCTCAACGCTTCAATCAAAATGATTTAAATGATCTCACCAGGGATCTCAATTTATCAAAAAAAGTTTCTGACGTACCTACTGGCTTCTAGGTTGAACGACAAAAATTTATTGGAACAAGGAACCAAAATTACCTTTTACCATACAAGAGAAAAGTATCTGCTACCATTCTTTTTTCAAGAAGACAATCTTGTATTTTGTACCTTTTAAGTGCTTGCAAGCTCTTTTGAGTGTTTGCAAACACATTAATGGCTTGAAATGCGAAATTCAATTAACGAGCACATTTTGTAAAGGGTTTCAATTGACAATTACTGAGCACTGTGTTTTAAAAGTGTTTGCTAGCACTGTGCTCGAAGCACTTTCGAGGCAATAACTACCCAGCCCTGTAAAAATATATTATTAATAAATAACAGCTTTTTTTTTCCTTTTCTTAGTTTTGTAACATTTTTTAATTTAATATTAACTGCGATTTCTTTGTAATTTGTCACAAAATGACATTTATTCCGAAAGCTTTTGAATTTAATACAAAGTAAATAGATCTTACTAGACTTACCAGCTCTGCCTTAAAAGGCCACGCAGGAGATCAGGTACAGATGAAGTAGATCGGGTGAAATCTTGGTGAAATTGACAAGCTACTATTATTGATGGCGTTTTGAATAGTCAGTAATAGCCACACGAATTTCATTTAAAACATGTTTTTGTATATGTAATATTAATAATGATAAATGGTGGGTAATTTATAATAAATAACCCTGGCAAATGCACAATCCAAACCTATAGAAGGTATAGGTCTAGTAGATCCAAAAAAAAAAACAGATATTGAGACAAATAATACTACGTTTGAAATGTACTTCTTCGAGCTGAGTGAGTAGTTTTTTGGATCACGTGACATCGAGCAAACCATATTAATGGAGCAAATAGAACTTGAACCTATTAAAAGAACGGTATCCAGTAAAAAAAGCAAAACGAGGTACTTTTCAAACGTTGCATAATAGAATAAAATTACGGCGACTGCTTCGAAGAATCCTTCAATACCAATATTATTCGATTTTTCTATACTACATGTACGTTATTTACATTTAAACCATTTAAGTAAATAATATAGTCGTGACTTAAATTTTATATAAATTTTTCACATTGGCAACGTTGTATGTGATTTATTTGGTAAACGTTAGTCTCTGTTCATAGTACGGAAAAAGATATTATTATATCTCTTTCTAACACCTGTTACGTCAAACTAGACAGGATCGGTTTATGTGCTTTGTGGATTTAACCACTAAAGGAACTGCATATTATTTTTAAAACGAAATGTTATGATTTCTCTTTCAAAAATTATTTATTTTTAAAATAACTTATCAGAATTGTAGATTTACTTGGAAGGTTCTGTAAAAAATACACACTAAACAACTTAATAAAGGTTTATTTCAAAAACGACGTATTTATAAAAATTTTCCGTAAAACGTTCTTGCTCAACGATGCATTAATTTGCGATATATCATTATTGTATCATCTATTAATTATAGATACATAATTAAAAGTAGGCAGTGCAATTTTATTATAATATAAACCGATAAAAATCAAATAAAATTAAAAAAGAAAATGTATAAAAATAATAATAAATAAGATTAAAAATAACACCCACTCTAAAAAGGAACATATTTATCTTCTTAAAATGATTAGGACGGGTTGTACAATATGCAGTTAAAAAGTAATCTTAGTTTAACCTAAACTAAACCGAGTTTACAGCATTCTTTGCAAAACCCGCCTTCAATAACAAAAACATGATTATTATTTTAATCACTGGTTAAAATTTTAATTTGCTTAACCTAAATAATAACAGCGATTTTCGTAAAGAAATAATTAGGAAAATTGTACTTTTAAACCAACAAAAACAAATGTATTTTTTTCTCTTAAATGAATAGTCATTTTTCACCGGGTAATTTTTGAGACAACGTGAAAGTGTGATGTTGCTAAATCTATAAACAAGAAGGGTCTAGAAAATGGTCAGCGGAAAAGTCCATAAAAATATTGAAAAAACAAAAAAGAACACTCACTATATTTATTAGGAAAGATGAATTTAAGAGCATTTAGAAAATATAGGTTATATTGTTGTTTTAAGTAGAAAATATATATTTTTTATACTATTTCAAAAAATTCTAGTCCAATATCCATTTTAGTTTTTATAAAAATACAATTCTATATAAATAATGTGATTAATAACCATTTGTTTGTGGAAAGAATTCTGAACTGATTCATTGCTAATAGATTTGTTTTGGTTCAAACAGAACTGTCGATTCCAGTTCTCCAAAAACAGTGGACGAATTCATTTTTTAAGAATACGTCGCGATAAGTTAAACAGAGACTATTGAGCTGAACGAGTGTAACTCACTAGTTTGTTAAAGAACCAAAACAAGCCTAGGTATGTTGAAACAATTCCGAACCCAGTAAGTGACTGTGTTTCTGAGCATGCGCAACACATTATTCAGTTTTTGTTGGGACATAAATTTCATCACGACTACTAATTTTTTCGATTCGTCCCCGATAATAGGTAACAAAAAAAAATAACATACACCACAAAATAAATAACCTCTAACCTAAAAGTAGAATAAAAAAATAGTTAATGAATATTTAAAAAGTAGATACACGATATAACTAACAGGCATGCCAAATAAAAAAATTACTGTCGGTGGGAAGGGTTCATATCTCTAAGATGTTTCGACATACGATGTATTCTATCTAAAATACGTGAAATCATGAATAATGGGTTAAATTTAAATATTTTATGTCGAACACAATGAAAATATTTAAAAAAAAACTACTTTTTGTAAATTGGCAGGCTATTTCCAATAAAAGTAGCGTCCAAGATGGAAGACTATGTCGCAACCCCCTTAGGTATACGAGCCCTTCCCACTGACGGATATTGTTTGACAGGTCGTTGTAATGTCTAATAAACCTTCCAACTCGTGTTCATTTTTGTACCGCCAATAAATCGTACGAAATCAGCGCCTGCGCATAATTGATTCAAATAGTTTAGTGATGATACAAACGCTATATTCGTTAGAATTATTGATAATAAATAGGGCATGCGCTCTTAAAGTATGTATTTGTATAGTTCTGAATCAGTTCAGTAATCTTATCGTGAATAAAGCTATTAACATGGTCAGTACTTTTATTTATTAGTATTTACATAATAGTTATCAAAGTTAAATAATTTACATATTTTTAAATCTGTATATCGAAAACT